AAACATTTCTTCTCCAGTGTTCGGTTCTACTTGGCTCCACCCTCTTTTGTCACTTGTCCAAAAAAACAAGATGGCGACAGACACATTGCTGAACGAGACTTCAAAACGTCAGTTCACAAACCGAAGGGGGAAATTACGGAGACTGCGTCCACGACTAATATTGTTCAAATAGGCAACTGTTGCCAAAACATGAGCCACATCAATGGCATGAGTTTTAAGGCAGGCCGTTCTACTTAACACTACTGCTACACTACTACTTGATACACCTCAATAACACCTAACCCTAATCAGCCTCACCTTGCACATGTACAACATGGACAACTATGAGATAAGATGAATCTCAAATGATCCCTGCTGGTCACTGCAGCAGTTTATAGATAGGAAAACAATGCTGTTTATCACCCTCTGCTTGCGTGTGTGCATGTGTGTGTGTTGGTATATCGTGGTGGAGACAGAGGGGGGTAGTAGTGATTAAAGAGGCTGTCCTTCTGCAGGAATCAATATGGTGTAATTGCATCCGTGGCGGGGTTTTCCTGTCTTGGCGGGGTGTTCCCATCCTGGCAACAGAGGAGAGCCAGATGTAGCAGGAAATCCACATGCTGGCATAAACCAATGAGCAACGTGATGCTTTTAATTCTATTATTTCTATTCTTCTATTCTTATTTTATTTCTCTCACTTGCTTCTTTTATATTGCAAAACAATAATAAGATTTGTTTTGTGAGAACAGTTTTACTCTTTTTGCACATGCGGATTTTTTTGGGTATGTTGATACATTTATACTTAAGTAGTACATAATGAAGAGGAACTCAACAACAGAACGAGGAAGGCTTCTCTCGGTGTCCATGGCGACAGTGACGGTGTCCTTGATGCCTGCAGTGTGATGTTGTCAGTGCTGGCTTCTGTCTGCAGAGCGCAGCAGTAACGTCTCCTTGAGTTTTGGATCCAAATTGCTCATTTTCATCTCAGTTAGAAGTGCCATGTGCCCGTCCTGCACCTGTGACTCTAATGCAACCACTGATAGCCAGCAGAAACTAGCTTTTGATTTGGCTTCAATCTGGTTCTACTTTGTATTCCACTCGTACAGTTTGGTTTGGTTTCAGTAGTGAAAGTGCACATGATGCATCTGTCTATTCATCGACCCATCCAGCTGTCCCGTCATCCATCAGTCCATCCATTTCTAGGCAGAATCATGTTGGCAACAAAGCAGCCGATTAGGGTTGGGCTTCAATAGCTTTCACTGAATCAGAATCCAGTTCCTAATCCACTTATCTGATCAAATCCTTTTAGGTAGTGTGTTTGGTGGGTAGGAAGACATATTAGTGAAGATGAGACACTACAGGCAAAAACATTTTTATGAACTGGTCAATTTAGAGATTTGGGGCGATTCAGCTTCAGTAACATCGGTGGGCTGCCAAGTGTGGATTCCGTCTCCCCGCCCTTGAACACAGAAATCAGAGGAGAGGAAAGAGGAGACTAGCACAACTGTAAATGACAGTAAAACGCAGAAAAGACTCCTGATTATGTTTCTGTCACTGTATCCATGCAGAACGATCATGTCCGCATCACGACACATCTTAGATTCTAAAAATGTCCACAACTCTGATATCTCTACAAAGGTTTGTGCCAATCCATGTTGTTGTTGAGATGTTAAGTTACTTCAGATCAATCCTGATACATGTACATGGAATGATTCATTGATGGAGTGAATATGTTGGGGAGTGACCCTCTGTGAGTGTGCAAGCTATAACCAAGCACAGGTGTGTTTTACAACTCTAGAGAAGAGCAATGAAGCTAACAGAGGGTATCATATTCCAAACACAATACTCAGCAAAGAGGCTGTTGATGAAGAAGGGCCTCACAACACGAGAACTAAACAAGCTGTTAATGTCATTCACGGAAGAAACCGCTCGATGAGAAATGATTTGCCAGAAGCAGCGGAGTGTCTAAAAGAAGCTTTGAATCTCTGTTAATACTGGTGCTTACCTCCCCTTGTGTGGGGCGAGTGGGTCATTAACACTTTTGTAGCTACAGTGAAAATGTTTTTAAAAAAGGCAATAACAAAACAATAACAAAGATGTATTGAAGTAGAAGATTTTGTTGGATAAAAATACGTTGTGAATTTTGGAAATTATTCTATATTTCTATTTTCAATACATTTGGACTTGTGAAGAAAACAGTTACAGAGACGAGGACGCAGCACCTGCTCTGTGTCGAGAGAGAGCGGGAAGAGGAGGTGGACTGTAACTATTGAACGCAATGTTTCTGTAAGACAGAGTGACCATAGAGCGTTTCTCTTTTTTTTCTTGTGGCAGAAAAGCGCTGGTATGGTGCTAGGGAGCGCAACACCTTTCTGAAAAGTTTCTACAAGAAGTCGTTTGTACTTTTTTCAATTGCACCCCTCATGGATTATGATGGGGGTTCCAATCACGAAAATTCTAGTTTGAAGGAGGCCAGATCAAATCACATTCATCACATCAGTAAAAATGTTATTACAACATCAGTCGTGACATTTCACTACATCATTGGTGAAATTATTACATAATTAGGTTTTTGTTAATTTGCGATCAGGGGAAATGCATATTCTATAACGTTTCCAGGATATGATTACATTATTGGTTGCTACATGGCTTTTGTCCCCAATTGCACACGCCATGCCCAATTAACTGTTTTGTAGTCTGAAGTGTGTCCCCAAATGTAGCCTAAGTCAGAAACACACACACACATACGGCAGGATATCCATGCACACCAATAGGCTATCATTTACAGCTGACACGAGACTACCATGCACTGTCCTGTGGTGGAAGACGTATTCAGATCCTTTACATAACTAAAAGTATTGGTACCATGGTTTAAAACACTCTGTTACAAGTAAAAGTCCTGCATTCCTAATCTTAAAATACAGAAGATTATCAGAAAAATGTACTGTCAAATATATATAGTGCAGTGAAGTAAAGTAGAATGGAAATACTCAAATGAAGTATAAGTCACTTACAATAGCACTCAAGTATAGTACTTGAGTAAATGTACTTGCTGTTCCTGACTAGACATCATGGATGTGTTGGCAGCTGTTGTTTGGAAACAGAATATATTTGGTTCAGGTATTCCCATCGGTTTATTTTGCAAAATGACGGATTTCAGAAGTTTGTCACTCTTCATACAGTGCATTACTTCTGTTGTCCCCAGTATTCCGTCTCTTTCCTACTTTTGATGACCCTTTGTGACTTCTGTATCATTCTGCCATGTCCCTTTGCCGCTGTGTGCAAAGCTTGGAACACAACATTGGAACATCCCCCTGTTGGAACAATTCTGTTTGAGTTCTTGCTTAAAATGGAAAATCTGAACTTTGCTGAATTTTAGGTCCTTACTAACTTTTCCTCAAAAAAAAGGGCAGATTGGACTATTGATTTAATTTATACACCGGGTTGCCTCGTAGGTCACAATGCTGTCATTTATAAATGTGCTATCAACAGGTCTATGAATCGGATTATTATAAGCGCCAGGGCATAAGACTGTGGGGAGATCATGTGTTTTTGGTCGTATGTGTGAGTGTTTCTGTCTGTCCACTGCTTGTCTTATACTGTTGGACCATTCAGCCTAATATTGTTTGAGCTTATTTATGACTGGATGCTCAAGGACCTCTCATGGTTGCAGTATTCACACTTTTTGAAAAACCTATTTATGATTTAGGAAAGCAATATCTAAGTCAAGCCTGATGTTACCACTTTTGAATATCATAATTGTTAATCGCATTTAATTGAATAATGTTAGATACACTAGTAATGTAATATTTGAATAAATGTGTGCTAAATTGGTAAAGGAAAACTAGCTTTGACATCAAGTTGACATCATAGAAATGAAATAAAAGGTAACCCTTGGGGTAGTTGATGCAAATATATTATCCAATACTATTTATGTATTAACAAGATACATTTCTGATTATGCTTGCTCTGAAAAAAATACATTTAATATAATGTAGAACACACATGGAGGCCTCTAGTTTCATTTACTAAAAATAATCACCAGTTAAATTACAATATTGTTCAAAAAAGATCACAATTAGATAAATAACTGGTATGTTGCATTCTTGATACGTTTGTAGTAATTGATGTCTTATCAGCACAAGCAGGAATATCGTATTTTTATGGTTGACACAATAACAAAAATGTCATCTTTGTCACTATATATTTTACACTATAATTATAGTCAACCCCACTATCAATAATTGTTGCTTTTGACAAGTTTCCATACCAGCGTCACAGAGAAGGGAGCCTGTGTGGTGGGAAACGCTCTGTGTTAAAGAACAATCCAACCCGCTGTAAGATGACTCCTCCTTGTGTATTAGATTAATTAGAAGTTCTTCCTGCAGGAGAGCCTAGGCCTAAATATTTAATCTGGAGGGAGCCGTGGCAAAACATGTCATGCCACCTGCGTCTTTTGTGTCCGATACACACAGTCTGTCGTGGAGGAGCAGCTGGTAAGGTGCTTTGTGTCTGGAAAAGGACGGGGACGTGTGGAGGGCTCGACGTGTTCCCGGTGGGCTTGTAGGAGACAATCTGTAGCATGTCGGCACAATTGTATGGATGTGTAGATGTGTGTCAGAGATAAGGCGGAAGTGTGTGTGTGTGTGTGTGTGTGTGTGTGTGTGTGTGTGTGTGTGTG